AAAAGCACATACATACATTTGCATGCAACATTGTGGCCCTCGCTTTCCTCTCCTGTCTGTATTCCTAACAGGTAAAATAATAAGCAAATTCCCCAGCCACAGAGCGTTGCATCAGATTGTATTTATCTTTGGTGGTATTAAAAGGATTTCAGGAGGGATGTTCACCATCTCCACCTTCTCTGATCCTATGCACCAGGGTCTCTTCCCCTTGCAGTCTCTTTCCCTTGAATATTTGGTTTACCTGCAGACTTAGCTAAAGCTCATTGTTTCAAGTGCCAGAAAGCAGCTCATATCAGATTAGGTGAAAGATACTCCAGTGTCCAGCAATCTGCAGGAGTCTAACCTTAAACCCAGGACATGGAGATTCAGATTGCAGGATTCGAACTATTCCTCCATCTCTTTGGTTGAGTTTGCATCACCATGAGGGAGGTTTTTCGACAAACCACAGCGATGGCTGCTAAGTGTATGTTACACTTCTGCTTGTTAGTGAAGGAAAGAGGACCTGTGTGTGAGTGCCCCTTGAAAGATGCTGGTTGGATGCCATAATCACTGTGCTTGGCCCAAATCACATGGGGCAACAATGGAAGAAAGAGTAGTATCAAAGTCTCCTAGAGGTGGAAGAGGCAATTTCTAAAAGGGAAAGAAAATTGCAGTGGGAGGAAGAGGCCAAGTTAACAAATCAAGTCTTATTCCTATTTAAGACCTTGTATGATTGTAACTCAATACCTCTAATGCTTTTCATCAAGGCCCTTGGTAAGTGAGTAGTTTCTATTTCTTGAAAAGAGAGTTCAATCAGAGGCTCTGTGCCAAGTGGCTGCATTACTAGGAAGGCACTGTCTCGTCAGCCCTCACCTTTCCCCAGCCAAGGAAAGCTCTTAGAGGCTTGATCAACTTTTACAAGGAACACAATGTTCTATGCGGTTGTCCATGTCATCTAATCTGGAGGATTTTTGTTAGGGATGGGTAGACACAGATTTAAGAGTAAACAGTGAGTGGACGTGAAGAACTTTACTGAATCCTTTAAAATGTCTCAATTGCCATTGTTGTTACCTAGCACCAAAAGCAGTGTTTGTGCCTCAACTCCTTGTCACGCCTGCTGCACACTGTCCCATTTGCTTCCCCCAGAAAAAGCAGGGAGCTGCTCAGGCGTGTTAGCTGCATGCTTTGATCATTCTCTTTCTTCCCCAAAGGTCCTCACCTGCTTTTAGCACCATGTTGCTCTCAGAGGTTTTAAAATCTTTTTTCTGGTTGTACGAGAAATACCAATGAATGGAGAGGAGCCTCTAGTAGATAATGAAGATGATTAGAGCCTGTTGGCAGGCATTTGCTGCCAAGGAGATGGAAGAGAGCATTTAATTACTTAGAGATGGTTAAAACACTCTGTGTTGCCTTGCTTGGTGCCTTTGAAATCTTAGCTAGTGTGGGGTTTGCCTCAAAGAGTTTTTATCCCCCCCCCTTTGTTTGGGTTCTGATGGTAAATGCAAAAGGGTCATTAACGAGAGACATTTGAAGATTTCTTTTCTGTTTTAATCACTTATCTCTGTGACTTCAAGGCTTCCACATAAAGTTGCACTTGCCACATATTAATCACATTGAATTTACTAAAAATCTGAACCACGAAATGGGCAGAGCATTGTGTCACTGCAGAAACTTTAATGAGGAGATAATTTTCATTTATCTTCTAAATGAACAAACAAAAATCTACCTTTTAATTTCTCAGAGTGTGCAGCCTTAATGGCACAGTGGTGTCTATATATTTCTCTCTGACCTTTTCCTGATTTTTATAGATGAACATCTTTCTAGTGCAGGTTAGTAGAATATGCCACCCAGAATGTGCCACTTTGGCACTAGGGTTACTTTGAGCTAAAACACTTGAAAAACAGCAGATATGAGAAGGGCAGCCTCAGCTCCTCTCTTCCTGAAAACAGGAGATAAAAACTTCCAAGCGCAGGGTGCCTGCCCATGGAGAGTAAAGAAACATTACTGGGTCATGGCCAAGAGGTCTCTGGGAAACCCCCCTTTAGCCTTCCTACATAATTTAGTTACATTTCCACAATTATTTCTCTTTGTTCAAATACAAAAGTGTCCAGATCTTGCTACTTCTTTGAAACTTGGTTTCATTATAAAAGAGACTAAAGGTGTATATTTTTGCCCAATTAACTGGTCTCATGGTCTGTGGGTATAGCTCAGTGGTAGGACATTTGCCTAATGTATGTGAAGAACCAGATTTGACCCCAAGGATTACAAAAATCAAATTAAATTAAAAACCTGTCTCATGAATTAAATTCAGAGGGCTGGCCAGGACCCTAAAAAAGTAAGGCTGTACCTCTTTTACACACATACACACACACATACACACACACACACACACACACACAGCACACACCTTTGTATCATCCTCAAAATTGTCATTAGCATAACCCCTCTGAAAAGAAACAAATGGTAATCGAATACCCTGCCAGACCCTGTGCTAGGCACTTAGCAGACAAATTTCACTTAATTCCTTGAAGCCAGGATTAATGGCATCATGTTGTCAGTCTGGAAGCTGAAATTTGGACTGTTGGTAGGTAGCCTTTTTATATTTATAGTTTAGATTCCATGTTGCCAAAGCTTTACTTCTTCAAGGTCACCATGTCTGTGTTCTGCATATCTGTTTTCTCTGTGAGTGAGAGTAATTAACATGCCCCACAGGGTTGTTGGGCTAAAGAATCAGTATTCACAGTTACCTTTGTAAAGGCATTAGCTGCTGCCATTTGCCATTATCAATATTACTACTGTCACAGTTTCTACCCAAGCCTCCGCTGCCTCCAATGTCTATTTGAAGTGGAATGTAGGGTTTGGTTGACTTCCTCAATGCACATTCTGGACTCCATTATAGTAGCATTGTTTCATGCCTGTGTTTTCTCACTCTCATTCTGGACAGCATGGAGAAAAGTGTTTTAAGACTTAAAACTGGTATCTTTCTTTGAGTGTTTTGAGTCATGATCATTGCTGTCTGTGGGGGTGCTACTAAAAGATGCTGTGGGTTTAGGCTGCTGGAGCTCCTTGGAGCTTTATGGAGAAATTAGCTTGGAAAATACCGAAAACCAGCTTGACTTTGGACAACAGCTCTCAGCTTTTTTTCCATTTCTCTCTTATCTCCTGGCTGCTGAGATTATTTGGCTCAAGGCACAACTGATCCTTCTGGAAGGACCTTTTGCAGAATTTTAGATTACAGAAGGCCTCTATGAACTTAAATACAGACTTCAATTTTCGGGGGGGGGGGACTGAAGCAGATGAATGGCTCACTGTAAATAAAAGAGAATGCCATGATGCTGTGCATTATTTAGTTGATCTTAATCTGTTTGTGTAGCTGTAAAATAATACCATAGAGTGAATAATTTGAAAATAGCAGAGTTGCATTTCACTCATGGCCCTGGGGGTTGGGAGGTCTAAGGGCAGGTGCCACATCTGTTTAGGGGCACTATATCATGAGATGGTGAGGGACTACAATGGCAAAATAGACTCACTCTTAACCCATTACAGAGAATATGGCATTCATTCACTCACAAAGTAACAATGCTGCTTGCTACATTGGGGATTGCATTTCCAGCAGCATTGTTACTTTGTGAGTGAATGACACATTCAAACTGTAGCAGCCTCTGCAATTGACACCAATGCTTGATGATTTCTTGTGGGACCCTGTGTGGAGCAGAGTCACTGCTCATACATAGCTCACTGGATTTCAGAATACTTGCATCACAACAGGGAGTGGGATTTTATATTCACTTTGCAGGTCCCATTACCAGACTGAATTTTCATATTGAATTATAAACAAAAATTTTATGCTGCTTACATTTAATGAAATTTTAATAAGGCCATGTTTTGATGTTATTATTCAAATAATGTGATCTGAATTGCTTTCCTCTGAATATATTAGCATTAAAGAGGAAATCAATTTGAGTTCATTCCTTGAACAGTTTACCTATTTCCTTTGTAGCTTTAAAGACAGAGGAAAACTCAGTTTCTTTGTCAGTAAATGGAGAAGAAACACATTTACTGAGATCTGTAGCAGCAATGGAAACAGACTGCTGATGGTTTGAGTTAATGAAATGGCCCATTTTGTCTATTAGAGTCGCACAATTTAAACTATCTACAAACCGCACACATCGCAAATTGTAAGGGATGCTAGCTCTCCTCTCTTACTGAGACTTTTAAGCTTATATATTAAGAAAGAAAATTAAGAGATCCACATTATTGCTACTCCCAACCATTGGTAATCTAAATTAAATGGTATTCTCTGGAGAGAGCAAGTGTCTTTGGGGGTAGCATTCCTCTAACATTTCGTTTCTGCTAAAATTGTGGGTGTGGGTCCAAGGCAGTTTTCTGAAACACATCTTCCAAAAGGTCAGCTCACATCACCAAGCTAAAACGCGTTATTGGCAATGCTTATGTGCTTTCTCATACTCATCTAGATGAAGTTCAAGGAAGAGAATTGATCCTGAAAATAGCGGGAGAAATCTTGCTTTGGAGAATAATTTCCCTTACAGATTCTAAGGGATTGCCAAGAAATTAACTGGCCAGGAGGGTATGACTCTGCCCAGAACGGGACCTTTGTGTCTTTCATGTCATTTGGTACGCAAATAAACGCTTTTACTTTACTTCCCAGGTCTTCTCTTCCTCTACACTTTATCTCTCTCCCACACACACCACACACACATTTATCCTTTATGTTCTATATACAAATTTTCTAATTTAAAAACTCAGCAAAAAACTATAAAACGTGCGTAAACAGGTGTGCCCTAGAATTCATTCGTACGTTTGCCGAGGAGTTTGGTTCTTGTTTTCTATTTATATGACTCCATAAACTCCCTTTGCTACTCGTTAAAGCCGAGGCTGGAGCCCAGAAGAGGCAGCCGAGGCCTTCCGCATGCGCAGTAGCAGTGAGGATGCCCCGCCCTCTCAGGCTGACTCCCAGTCGTGCCGCTCCGCCTCCGGACGCAGCGCGCAGGCGATATGACGTCACCCGCGCGCCGCTCTTCCTCCCAGACTCTCGCGGGCGCGCTGTGTGCAGGCTTCTGGCGGTTACTGTGAGGTGGACGCGGCCGGCTCTCCGCCGCCTGGTGACATGCTGCAGAAGCCGAGGGGCCGCGGCCGGCCCAGCACGCAGGCCGATAGGGAGCGGGAGTGGGGAGACGCAGGCGAGGAGGCTCCCAGCACGTCCCGCGGCACGGGCGGCACGTCCCAGGGCTCCCGCGCCTCCCTGTCGTCCCCCGCCGTGGGGCCGCGCACCCAGAAGCAGCTGGAGGTGAAGGTGGCAGAGCTGGTGCAGTTCCTGCTGATCAAGGACCAGAAGAAGATCCCCATCAAGCGCACCGACATCCTGAAGCACGTGGTGGGTGACTACCGGGACGTGTACCCCAACCTGCTGCGGCTGGCCGCCGAGCGCCTACAGTACGTGTTCGGGTACAAGCTGGTGGAGCTGGAGCCCAAGAGCCACACCTACATTCTTATCAACATGCTGGAGCCGGTGGAGGAGGACGCCGAAGTGAGGGGCGACCAGGGTACACCTACCACGGGCCTGCTCATGATAGTCCTGGGGCTCATCTTCATGAAAGGCAACACCATTACCGAGACCGAGGTCTGGGACTTCCTGCGGCGGCTCGGGGTAGAGGCCACCAAGAAGCATTTAATTTTTGGTGACCCAAAGAAACTCATTACTGAGGACTTTGTGCGGCAGCGCTACCTGGAGTACCGGAGGATACCCCACACCGATCCCGTGGACTACGAGTTACAGTGGGGCCCGCGAACCAACCTAGAAACCAGCAAGATGAAAGTTCTCAAGTTCGTGGCCAAAGTCCATAACCAGGACCCCAAAGACTGGCCCACACAGTACTGTGAGGCCTTGGCGGATGAGGAGAATAGGGCCAGACCTGCAGCAAGTGCCCCAACCACATCCTCCTGAACTTGAGGTGCAGTCTGAGGAACTCCCGAAATCCAGGATAAACGAACAGGGAAAGGGGGTTGGTTGGAGGAAGCTTGATTCTGCTAGGTGTAAATATCTTGTAGCATCAGGATGTTGTGCAAGGTTTTGATACTTTGTAATGGGACTTTAATTTCTCATTGCTAAAGTGATGGAAGAAAAAATATTTTACATATTTTACTTTTGTTTAAAGAGGTTTTCCATCTTTCTAAGCATAACTGGAAAATTGTAGTATGGTGTTAAACATTTAGGAAAAAATACTTAGTTAAATTGCTTTGTTCTCCTAGAAGATGAAGAAGCAAGATAGCTATTATCTCTTAATTACTCTAGTTCATGGGGGGACAAGAAAAGTCTATTGAAACTAGAAATACAATTGTTTTAATGGAAATACTTTGGGAAGTTGTCATATTACTAATAAGAGAATATCTGGTTGTACAATCCCTGCACATCCTCACGTGAGACCTACCCTGTCACTGACTCAGATTTCATTTGAATGTGGTGCTTACAAAGTTGTGTGTGAGTAATTGAAGATGTTCTTTCACCTATGCAGTCACTTCAGTATTCTGGCATTGCAACATTGTTTTAGGCAAACATCAAGAATGATAATTATGTTGTGTTTGAGAGATTCAGTGATATTGTTCAGTTGCTAAGCAAGATATTTGAAATGCAATTGTTTTAGCCTCATGTCACCACAACTTTAAAAATGCATATTCTGTATGGATATGAGCACTGTTTGGCTCCAAACAGTCTATATGATGTGTTCTCTAACATTCTCTACTCATTATTACTCTGTTACCCTATGAATGCCATTTAAAGTGGGTTTTTTTTTTTCTGTTTATAATAAATACTGTGCTTTTGAGTCAGTTCATCATTATTTTTGTTGTTTCCCTGTTAGAAATTGTGACTCTTAGGGAAACGTCTGATTCCAGATGGTTTTTTACCATGATACTAACTAAGATCAATGGTTGCAGAAGGCCAGGAGTGTATATTGCAGCAAGTTGTAAAACCATTCATTGTAAGTCTCAGGTTTATAAAACATTGTCATAGTGATTAGCCCAGCCTGTTTGGGAGTCACACTGCCAAAGTGCAGATTCTAGTTCCACCGTAAGAATTTAGCTTGTGTACCTATGGAATGGGCCAAATCCTATATCAAGCATGCCATTCTGAATAGGTATGGGACTTTATGTAAAATTCAGCAAAAGTTCTGGTGTAAATTTAGTCACTTACACCTTATTTTTACTCTTGATTTTGAGCTACTTTTTGTTCTTTATGCCATGCTAGGTCACTCCTAGAAGAGTGGTCACAAGTTCTGGGCTCAGAAGTTCTCCCCATTTTCTTCTTTAGTATATTTGAATAGTTCTTTGAAGAACTTGGTGTACCTCTGGTGAGGGCAGCCCAGTGTGAACAGGACAACCACAAGATCCCCTGGGCTTTAGGAGATGTGGCACAGTACAGTGACATGATGGGTTTTGAGGTCATTGGACCTAGTTTCAATTAAAGATCAGGCTGGTTCTCTGGGCGTAAGTTTGGAGCTCTCAATCTCAACTGAAGAAAACAACTTTATGTTGCTGTAGATGAGCTGGAAGAGATGAGTCTCCTTGGAGTTCTTAATAATATCCAGCCAAACACTGGACACAGTGAATACAGTTGTTCTGAGAAGAGCTGTTCTAAGTTCTTCATCAAAAAGGGCACAGGGGAGGGTAGGTGACTTTCATCAGCCTTGAACTAGAGGTCAATTTGTGATAGATAGGGTTGTGGAGGAGTAAGAGGGCCTACTGGTAGTTGATTTGTGTTAATAATAGTGTCCTAGTTTTTTGAACTAGAGGTCAATTTGTGGTAGTTAGGATTGTGGAGGAGCAAGAGGGCCTACTGATGGTTGATTTGTGTTAATAATAGTGTCCTAGTTTTTTGAACTAGAGGTCAAATTGTGGTAGTTAGGGTTGTGGGGAATAGAGAGGGCCTGCTAATAGTTGGTTTGTGTTAATAGTGTCCTAGTTTGCTTTCTACCACTGTGATGAATACCCTGACCACAAGCAGCTTTAGCGTGCGCACAGGGAACAGGGGTTAAGTTTATTTCATAGTTGTAGTCCACCGCTGAGGGAAGTCTGGGCAGGAACCTGGAGACTGGAAAGAAAGCAGAGGCCTCCGAGGAACACTGCTTACTGGGTTGCTCAGTCTGCTTGTACAGCTCTGAAGCCCCTGCCTGGGGATAGCATTGCCAACAGTGAGCTGGGCTCTCCCACATCAATCAGCAATCAAGGAAATGCCCCACAGACCAATCTGATAGCTGTGTTTTCTCAATTGAGGGTCCCTCTTCCCAGATGGCCCTGGCTTATATCAAATTGACAAAAATAGCTCCAGTAGATTTAGAGATTGTTAAACAAGGATTGATTAGTTTATCCTTAAGGCCCTCTTTTCTTGGTATGCATTCTGTGTCATCATATGAATTACCTCTGCCCACTGGCTCCTGACCCAGTCAGTTCTCAGTTGTGCTGTGGTGCTTACGCTGTCATCCATATCTAGGATAAAACTGTCACACAATAATGGAGACCCAGTTTTGAGATCTTCACAGTTTACTGTCAAATTAGTTTGCTAGAGATGCTGCGCTACATTAGAGGCTAGATCAAGCTCTTACATCATTTCTTTGTCACCAGATTCCAGGGCTGCACATCATGCCATTATATGTTTTTATAACTTTAATTGTATGTGCATGAAGAACACATGGTTTCCTTTATCACAGCTGTTTTCAACCTTCTTTGGAGTTCATCGGTGTAGATGCATAAACTGATCCACCATCCCTTTTGATTTCCTTTCATGAAGGGAGAATAACACGCACTAATGGCTAGACAGGCCCCTCCCAACTTTGGCAGGCATGTGTGTGCTACCTCAGGAGTCCAAGCCAGAAGCTAACAGTTATCAGTGATATTTGTCAAATGGCTCTTGAGCTCACATCAAATTACACTTTCACAAGCATCTAGACAGTTTTTATTTTGCTTTTGCCAGTCATCCCACATTCTGAAACCCTTGTGAGCACCCAGCCTTTAGAGCCCTGTAGTGGGTATGTCATTAATACTAAACGTGTCATTCACTTATCTGTTGCTTGTAAGTGACATTAAGTACCTGCCTATCTTTTACTCTCCATTCTGAGCATCAGATTTTAAACATCAGACTTTTTTTTTCTGTGTATTGATTTGCAGGAATTGTTTATATCTTCTGCACATGAGTTCACTGTTGAATCCAGTTGCAAACACCATCTGTGTTTTCGGTTTTTTGTTTTTTTTTTTTTTTTTGTCATACATGGTTTTAATGTCTTAATTGTTAGCATTGTGATCCCTGTATTTTGTACTATGCTTTGAAAAGTTTCTCTAATCTTAATTATGAAGGCATTATTATTTTTGAGAATTTCATACATGAGTAGTATATTGACATTGTTTTTGACATCCCATTCCAATTCCTTCTGTTTTCCCCCTCTGTGTATATAAATGCAGCCTGCTGAGAACATTAGCCTGACCGATCGGATTAGACAATCAATTAGGGGATTCATCCCTGAAGAAAACTAATTCTCCCTCTCTTAGCCATCATTTAATGTCTTTCAGTTCTCCATCTAGGAGTGAGGCTTTGTGAGACTTCCCGCATCTGCACTGGTGCGTCAACTAGTATTGTCATCTTGGGGGTCTTGTTTAGGCAATCATATTGTTAAGATTTCATGGGTACAGCCTCCCTGTCATACATAGAGGACACCATCTCCCAGCAGACATCCTGGTCCTCTGGCTCTTACAAACTCTCTGCCTCCTCTTCCACACTGTTCTGTGAGCCGTAAGTATAGTGTTGTGTTGTGGATGTGTAAGCAGGGGCTGAGCACCCAATGTCCAGCTGTTCTCTGCATTCTGACCAGCTGTAGATTTCTGTAGTCTCCATTTGGTGCAGCAAGAAGCAGGCTTGGATGAGGGGTGAGGACTGTGCTTATTTGTGAGTTTAAGGATAAGTGTTTAGGAATTACAGTGCTTTAAGAAAGGGGCAGGAGGAATCTATTGTCTAGGGTTCATGACCTCACCAGCCAGAGGTTGGCTGACTTTACAGTACCAAACATGAATTCCCTCTTATCTTATTGGGCCTTAAGTTCAATTAGGCAACTGTTAGTTATCCCCAAGATATTAACTGCCACTATTGTACCTCTGGGGATATCTTGTCATCTGGGCATTAATTAATATGGTTCATAGGCTTTATAGTTGGATAGGCTATTTATTGCTTTTCTCCCTTGACAGTTTTCATAGTATCTTTGGGTACTATGAAAGCTGGTCCTCATGGAGAAGACTTCTAAGTCAAATCTAGTTCAAGCAACCAAGGGCAATAACAATAGCATATTATTTGGGGAGTCTCTTTGACTCCCTTGACCAGCAAACAACTCAAGGGGAGATCTGACCCTGAGAGTTTTGTTATCCTTTGGCCCTCAGAGGAATTCTTATCACTCCAAAAGTTTGAATAACTTTATTCAACACACATGCACATGGGTGTACACAGGCCCACACAATGCATAAATACAGTGGCAGCAGCCTGTTCAAGCTGGCCTTGAACTCACAGTGCCTATGAAAAACAAAATCCAAGTATGTCTTTAAAACTTTTATTTGGAAAATTCCACACATGTGAAATTAGAAAAGCAATGTAATCATCTAGCTGCCTGTGTAATTTTGTTTCTGGTCTCCATATATCTTCTGTACATAGATAACTTAGGTGTGTCTCTGAAGATAAGAATTCTCCCCCTGGGACAAACGATCCCAGTGTTTACTGGATTCCAGGATGCCTTCCCAGCGTATATCTGTTGCTTATCTGACTTTCTTGCTATTCTGAAGCAGATCCCCCTTGGCCTTGGTGGAGGCCCACTGCCATTTGTCTTCTGTTGATTTCTAGCTTTGCTCCACTTTGACCAGAGTATGTATTTCATATAATTGCAATCTTTCCATTTTGCTGAGGATTTTCTGTGTGTCTCCCTTAGTACTTTTGTTTCTACAGTTTTCTTTGCCTACCTTTGGTTTCATGATGACAACCTTGTATGAGAAGCAAGAAGTGCTGCCTCTCCTCCAAGTTTGGAAAGAGTAGGGTTGTTATTAACTCTTTAAGTGCTTAGGAGAATTCACCGGGAACCTAGTTGGTGCTGTACTTTTTACCTTTGGCTAGGATTTTGATTTCTGATTAATCTCTTGTGAATGTATCAACAGTTTATACATCTCCTTCCGTCCAAAGGTTTTCTTTGATGTAGTGTGTGTGTGTGTATGTGTGTGTATGTACAAGTAAAGGTTCACATGTGTATGTGTGGTGTGTGTATGTGGTATGTGTTTATGTGGTGTGTGTGGTATGTGTATGTATCTGTGTGGTATATGTATGAGTAAATGTTCACATATGTATGTGTTTATGTGGTATATGTGGTATGTGTGTGTGGTGTATGTACAAGTAAAGGTTCACATGTGTATGTGTGATGTGTGTATGTGGTATGTGTTTATGTGGTGTGTGGGTGTGTGTGTATGCTATATGTTTCTGTGATGTGTAAGTGTGGTGTATGTGGTATGTGTTTATGTGGTGTGTGTGTGTGTGTGTGTGTGTGTGTGCGCGCGCGCGCGCTATATGTTTCTGAGTTGTGTATGTGTGGTGTGTGATGCATATGCTTGTAGTTGCCTACTTTGGGTACATTATGCACTTTTTATAGTCTTGGTAACAAATTTTGACATTGTCTCTATTTTGAAGACATTAGTGTAGCCTCACTAGCTTTCCTTCTAATCACCTGGTGTGTTTTTTTGTGCCGTCTCTTTGAACATTTTTTTTTGTCTTTTTATATACAGCTAGTCTTCCTTTGTAACATAGTTTAGACC